CCAAGTGTTTAGGAAAAAATTAAAGTTTAGCTATCCTCCAAAAAATCCAAACAAGTTATCAATTTTCATATATCATACTACCTTCGTTTCAAATTGATTTGCAAAGTCAATCTTTTTTGGTCAAACAATTTCTTTTTATTCACTTAATTAGAATTTAACTTTTTAATTATATTCTAATTTAGCCTTTCACAAAAACTACTCCGTACTTCGTATATTTTAATTTGGATTTTGCAACTTTAGAGAGATTTTAATGTGGTTTCTAAATATGTAAATTTTAATTATTAAAAATTGTGTTAATTATCAAGAACTTAACATTAACTTTGACAAAAAATGTTGGCTTTGCAAATCAATGTCAATTTCGACTGAGGTAATTAATATATTTTAGATAAACTATAGTAGTACAAATTTAATAAACCATACTTCGGTCCGGTTCGGTCCGGTACCGGTTCTCATTTTATGAGAACCGGTCATGGCATTGTTTGGAACCGGTTCGGTCCGGTTCGGGACAAAAAATTTTGAGATCCGTTTCAAACCCCGTTTATCGGTCCGGTACCATACCGGTCCGGTTCGGTATCATGCCGGTTCGGTATTTTTGCCCACCCCTAATTGTGCCCATGTTTTGAAAAAAAAAAGTGGGAAAACCGAACTTTCATAAAAAGGTCAATTAAGTTCTTCTGTAGGAGGTTCTGTCCGGCCGTCACGATTTGGGGCAGTTCCCAGTGGAAGTTTTTGATGAAATTTTTTGAGCATCTTATTCACCAAGTCTAGTTTACTCATACCAAATTTCAGCTAAAAATTCAATCAGGAATACATTCAATTAATTCTTGAAGATAACTACACATTTTTGCGTTCTCGAATTAATTCGAATGCGCTCCCGATTAAATTTTTAGCTGAAATTTGGTATGAGTAAACTAGACTTAATGAATAAGATGCTCAAAAAAATTCATCAAAAAATTCCACCAGTAACCGCCCAAATCGCGACGATCGGACAAAATCTCCTATAGAAGGACTTAATTGATATTTTTATGAAAGTTCGAGGACCTATTTGACAGTTTTCCCAAAAAAAATAATTTTACAAACTCATTTTCAAAGGATTTAATCTTCGATCCCATTAGTTTTAGAAATAATGACATACAAACGTATATAATAATGTTGCACTAATAGATTAAAAGTGAAAATTGTGTGGTTGATTTTGTTTTGATTTGAGTGTTTTTCATCCGTAATCAGACTTGATTAGACCATACCATATCAGACTTGAACATTTATAAAATACACATAGATCAGACATCTATCACATGCATTCTATCAGTTCAGACCATACTAGACCAAATAACACTTAAATAGATCAAATCAGAAATGAAAAGGCGCCAAAATTTTAGTCCAATTTTAAACATGTGAGAGCTAGATCCAGGGCCGTCCTGCCCATTTCTGGGCCTATGATCAATATAATATCTTGGACTTATTCCCAATACAAATCGTAAATTATACTTCTTTAAAATATGAATTATGATAAAGAATATAATATCTAATACAAGTCATAAAATAAAATAAAGACGAAAATTACTTTATTACTCCGTATTATTTAAATTACATATTTGGGCAAAAGTAACAAGACAAGTATCACTTAAAAACAAAAAATACTCCATATTAGTCAAAACGTTTCTCGGAGAACAATGTGAGGCAAAATCATCAATAATCGCTTCATACTTAATCTTTTCCAATAATAAAAATTAAAAGAAATTAAGGAACACAAAGTTTCTCAATAGCTCACAACTATCAATGTAGCAAGACAATAAAAAGTGCCACAAGTTCCAGCCAAACACCTTGTAGTTCGAAGACATCATTATGACACTCTCAAAGATGAGGTCACAAGTTCCAGGGCCGGTCCTGTCCAGTTTTGGGTCTATGGGCGATATACTATTTTGGTCTTATTTCCAAGACAAACATTAAATTATACTCCCTCCGTCCCGCAAAGAAGTTTCCGCCTTCCTTTTTAGCAGCCCAAAAAAGAAGTTTCCATTTCTGTAAATGGCAAGGTTATCTACATCAAAACAGTGCCAAACAGTGTTGAAATAGTGTCAAAACAGTAAAATTTACCCTCTAGTAAGTTTATTTCCTTAATATGTGTGTAGGTCAAACAGGGAACTTCTTTGCGGGACGGAGGAAGTACTTACTTAAAGTAAAAATTACGAAGTATAATAAAACTAGGAGAAATTACTCTAAATACGACTAAAAACGTTTGTATATTCCAAACTAAGATTATCATGTTTTTATTCTCTAAATAGAAGTAATTAATGTCATATTTTGGCAGTACCATATTTTACACATGGTAGTATTTTCCGAACATGACAATAATTACTTCTATTCAGAAAATAAACACATGACAGTTCTATTTTGAAATTCTCAAAAAAAAAAACATGACTTACAACCAACTCTATTTAAAAATCAAAACTAAATTTATATTCTTTTTAAAAACTTGTCTAGTTTTGTTTAAGACTTTTACTTATGTTTTAAAATTCTCAAATTGTCAACAAAAATTACACATTAGATCTAATTAATTAATTGAAATTATAAAATAAAAAAAGAAGCTTACTCAGATTACATATAAAGAAAAAAACTTGGACCTATTTTTCTTTGTACTTTTTTTCGGGCCTAGGGCGGTCACCCTGCTGCCCTCCCCCTAGGACCGGCCATGACAAGTTCGAAACTCATCTCATTCAAGGATATTGACATTTAATAGAAAAAATACTATAATATGCAATAAAGTACAATAAAATGAAGGTCTCTAAAGAGACAAAAAAGTTGGCTTCCAAGAAGACTTGCGTAAGAAGACTGCCAATTCGACTTCCTCTAAAATGGTATTAGGAACTCAAATATGGTCTACTAATCACTTCATTTGCAATTCAAATTTGAAAATAATTGGAATGAGATTTGGAAGGCATGGGCTGGACAATTATTATATAATTTTGTTATTATAATTTAAAAGGAATAATAATATTAAAGGCCAAAGAGATGTGAAGAGTGAAGAGGTGTTCATGTCTTTATTGATTTAGCAATAATTGTGTTGCTTTAAGAACTATAACTGATCCTACTTAAAAGTAATGTATCGAATCTTCTTTTTTAAACTTAGCTTTGTTTAAGACTTTTTACTTATGTTCTATTTTTTTCAAATTGTCAACGAAAATTAAACATTAGGCATAATTAATTGAACTTGAAAAAAAAAACCGCTCACACTATACTATATATACATGAAAAAATGGGTTTAGGTTTTTCTCTCTATTTTTTCGGGCCTAGAGCGGTCGCCCCTGTTGCCCCCTCAGACCGGCCCTACCTAGATCAGGTCATAGTAACCAATGGATGACATAATATATTTGGATAAGATATCGCTCATTCCCTCGATGGCCCTTCTAGTTATATTCATTTGAGTTATTACCAAATACATAAGAGTTTCAAGTTTGAAGAGTGTGGCTTCGTGAAGATGGGTGTTGGGAGGTGGTTTTTAGAAGGTGGACAACAACAAAGTCGAAAGAAGTGGGGGTAGGATAGACGCACGTGGTCGAGCACTCCAGAAGTGGGGAAATAGGTTGTGACAAAGATACTAGAATGCTTGTAGAATATAGATGTAGGCTTGCTTGGCAACGAGGTAGGAGAGATACAACGAGTTTGAATGAATTTCTTAGGGTCCATAGTGTTTATCAAGATATGGACAAGAAACAAAATATTTATTAGTGTCAAAGGGGTGAAAGAGTTTTGGCTTCATGAAGGAGATTTGAATACACACTTTTTTCACAACGGAACAAAATAAGTGAAATGAAAGGGTTGATGGATGAAAGGGGAGAATGGTAGAGTTCAAATGTTGTTATGGGGAAAGTTATTTTGGAATGCTTACATCTTTGTTCACCTCATCTAGGCAGCTACTAGAGAGGGATGTATATCAAAGCGGGCAGAAAGGTGACCAGTGAACAAAATCTTAAGCTGCTACAACCTCTAAGTACAAATTAGGCACGTAAAACGGTGTTTGATATGCATCGGATAAGGCTCCTGGGATGAATCTAGTATTTTATCAAAACTTTTGGAATTTAATTGGTCAAGATTTGGTTTTTCAGGCGGTTACGTAAGCTACCACCTGGATACGAAGTATAATGTTACTAATTTAGTGTTTATTCCTAACAAAGGATAAGGATGTTTTCTTTTGGACTGAAATTTGCTGGTCTGGTCTGGTCTGGTCTGTTTAAGTCTGGTCTGTTCTGGTCTGGTCTGTTTAAGTTTGGTCTGGTCTGAACTGGTCTGGTCTGGTAAACGTCTGGTCTCTGTGTATTTTATAACTACGGAAGTCTGGTCTGGTCTGGTCTGGTCTGTTTAAGTCTGGTCTGGTCTGGTCTGTTTAAGTCTGGTCTGGTCTGGTCTGATCTGTTTAAGTCTGGTCTGGTCTGGTCTGGTCTGGGACTGAAAACAGTCCAAAAGAAAACATCCTAAGTCGGTAGGAACCGGGGATTGGAGAGCCCGTTTGGTAGCACGAAAATCGGCTGTTTTGGTTGATTCTGCTTAAATTTATGAAGTTCTGGCTGAAGTGACTGTATTGGCTGATTCTGCTGATTTAAGAAAAAAATATTTTAAAAATATATTTTATTAATAAAATAAAGAAAAAATTATATGTAAAAATAGCTAAAATGATCATCTACAGTAACTTCAGCCAATACAGCCAGAAAATTAACTTCAACCTTACCTTTTCTATTTATTACACAATTTAGTGCGCGAAAGTAAAAGTTACGTGTTTGGTGAAAAAGTTGGCTGATAAGCCTGATAAACCGAAAACCAGTGTTGCCCAACGGCCTCATATTGTTGTGTAACGTGATTTATAATTCTTTTTTTTGGATGAAATGTAAATATATATTAACACCCAGAAAATTATACATCACATATTATGAAGGTGAAAGGAGGTTTTTATTCAGTCTAATCTATGCCAAAATAACCAAGTATTATACTTGGCCCATCAAGAGGTTCAAACATACATCGGTGCTGCACATGCACGCACACAATTCAGAGGCTAAAATTCTAAACAAAGTACAAAGGTGCTGCAAGATGCACACACCCTAAAACTCAAGACCATGCTTCATGCCACAACATCCATGATGTCCATACCGCGGTGTCCTGAGTTCCCAAGCCGCGGCATCCAACCATGCCTCGGCGCACCAAACAATCATGTAGCAGTCTGTCCAAAACCGTGGCATCCATAATATCCATGTCGTGGCCTTCTACTCAAAATGTAATCAAGACATGCGGGTATAAATTGAAAAGTATTTTATACACCACATGCTTGACTTTTGCGATGATCTCCTCTTCCTTGACGTCCTCTTCATCAAATCGATTGGCATTCCTAGCGTGCCAAATGTAGTAAACCGCGGCGCAAAAAACTATTCGGACAGCCTTCCCTTTGATCTTTGATCCTTTGTGGCCCTTCAGGATCCATTTGATCGAGCTGCTAAGTGTGGTCATCTCTTGTGTCATTCCCAACCATTCCTATATTTTTTCGCAAACCCTACAAGTGTAATGACAACGAAAAAATAGGTGTGGCGTTGTTTCCAATCCACCCTTGCAACAATTAACAATATGTAGGTAACCTAGGTTATCCTGTGTAGGTAACCGGTTCCTCAAAGCAAGCCATATGTTGAATGAGAACTTTGGGGGGATATAAGACTTCAAAATGAAACTCATCCATATTCTCGGCGTCCCTTTAGTTCTCAACAACTCATAAATCTTTCCGGAAAGGAGTTTACCATTAACGGATCTAGTATTTAGGCTCATAATGGTATCATTCAAATTATTAAAGCAACCCAAAATTTGGTCCCGGATGTGACTCAATTTCTTCATGAACATCGAGTCACGGTTGTGTGGGATAAAATCCAATAATTGTTGTCGAGTCACGTGATTTATAATGCTGGAGACCAATTATTGATGTTGAGTAATAGGTTGGGAGTGAAGCCCGAGCCTAGAAGGTCAAATATTTGGGATTACCTGCTTTGATGGGTAGGGCGAAAAGGGATTTGAATAAGGGATTTGAATAATTGAATGAAAGGATGGTCGAGAGATTTAAGAGTTGGAATGAAATATTTTTGCCTAGTTCTTGTAGAGAGATCTTTCTAAAAATGTTGTTGAGACGATGCTCACATGCGATGAATGTTTTACTACTACTGAAAGAACTTTTGTGAAGAGATTGAAAGGGTTATTTTTTGGAATTTTATCGATCTAGGACCCGAAAGTTAGGTCTACTATCAATTTTGAAACATCCTAAACTATCAATTTTAAACTATAGATTTAATGCCATCAATTTATTTAAAAATAATACCAAGCATATGATCCTTAAACGGCCACGTCTTCCATTTTATCAGACCTCAAAGACACGTCATCTTTATTTTTCACCGACATCAAACACTCATCGTCAAATCATCTTCACTGCTCCAGAACAAAACCGAAATCTTCCAAGCTCACTCATCTCACTTCTTCCTGTTCATCAAATCGGCGACCTGAGATTTCCAAAGATTACTCATTTCACTTCTTCCTTCTCTTCAAACCGAGTTTGGAGGTACAAACAAGGCAACGAATCAAGGCATCAAGAAGAAAAACACATCAAAGCTTAGGTATTTTAACATTAACGTTATGAAATAATTGATGTCTCTGGGAATGATTTCTGATTAAGTGAACGGCGTTTGATTTTTTGAACTGTTTTATTTGTTTTTTATGTAAATTGTGGATGCTTTAAGATGTAGAGCTATAGAGCCAGGGAGAGTTTATTCATTACAACCTCATATGTATAGTGATGGCAGTGTAAAATTTGGGAACCCTGTACGGCCGTTCCTTTAGTTGGGTGAGATTTTAAGACAATCTATTTTCATTCTTCTACCTTTGAAAATGTTGTTATTGGAGATAATTTATCTTTTAATTGGCCTATATTAAATCCCAAAATATAATGAAACGAGGGATAAAAGGAATAGTTATAAAAGGAATAGTTGGCAATGGTGTGGAAATCTAGATATGTTTTAGCTTATTTAGTGGATGATTAGTTAGTAATAATGGAAAGACCAACATAAGAAGGAAAGGTAAAGTTCATCAAATTTCATTAATGAACTTAAAACAATTACAACACACTAATTCTAAAGTGAGGGTTTACGGAGAAAGTAGAGAGAGTAGCTAGACTATTTATTGCAAGGGGGCGACGTGGCGAGCCTTGGATGGCTAGTCCCCGAACATAAAGTATCACATACCTTGTACATTAAATGCGCTTCCCGCTAACTCTAGGCTTCCCGCTTATTTTTTGATGAAGCAATTGGTGGCCAAGATCGCAGGAAGCAAGGAAACTCCAAGTGTTAGGATTCACCTCGTAAGGTTCCACTCAGGCGGGACTCACCGAGCGAGTCACGTGTATTTGAAAGCAGCTTTGGGCCTTTGAATTGTTTGGGCCGTTGGGGGTATTCGGGTCTGACTGTTGTTGGGCTTAATAGCCAAACATATACTATCGTATTTTTTAATTATAAGTTATTGTATTGGTTATATTAGTTAAAATTTCGAAATTCAAAAGAAAACACACTTTTGATGTGATCTTTTTCCTATATATGTATATGTTTGTGTGTGTGTGAAGCAATTAACTGAAATATCAATTGACACGTGAAGAGTTATTCAAATTTTACTGTTTTTAGAATTAAATCGATATAAGTATATTGCATAACATAGATGTCTATATAATTAATGAAAGTTGAAATAAACTATTTGTGTCGACTTTTTTACGTCAATTTTTTGTCGACGCAAAAAACAATTTTTCTGGTGCTCTATAAAAATAAACATACAAATCATTGATGATAGAATTATATTTGTTTTGGTATGATACATGTGTGATATAATATTTAACGGGGTTTTCTCTATGTCGAGTAACCTCTTTTACGTCTGGTCAGAAAGTAAGGAGAGCATTTAGTTTTGTGAGAATTAGGGGTAGAGATGTTTTGTATTGTGGTCATATTTTTAAGGGAGATTTACCTAAGTAGGAGTAAATAAATCTTTAATTGCAAAAACAGGACTAAAATTTAAAAATTCCCTATATAGGAGTTATTAGTTAGATTTAGACAAAAACACCCCTGAAGCCTCAAAAACCCTACTGCAGACGCAAGAACGCCTGACCTCTAGCCGCCGGCCAACGGCCGCCGGCCGCCGCCGCCAGTTTCCGACCAGACCACTGCTAGTCGCTGGATGTCGTTTCGCAAATCTGACCTCGCCGTAGTAGATCTGGCTAAATCTGGCCATCGCCGGCCGCCGCCGGGCGTTGCTTTTACGGATTCCGCCACCACCGCTACAGATCTAGCCACCCCCACTGCTACTGCCAAATTTAATATCTGAATGCCAATATGAATAAAAATGTCATCTTAATGACATTTTCAAAGGAAAAAATTACATTTTTGAAGATTAAAATGTCACTTTTATGGCATTTCAAAAACAAATGCATATGGGCCGTTGGAGATGAGCATCTCAATTTTCAGGGTCTCAAATGACGGAGAAAGAGATAAACAGAAAAGAATAGAGGAATTAACGAAGGAAGAGACATTGAAGAACGATCTCGTTTTTTAAAAGGACAAATTTTGTTTCGAAAATGCCATCAAGTTGGCAATATTACTCTTCAAAAAAGTCATGTTTTGCTTTGAAAATGCTATTAAAATGGCATTCTCGATTTATGTTTTGCATTTTGATAAAAAAAATTGGCATTAGACGGATCTGCACCGGTGGAGGCCGGTTTTGCAGCGGCTGTGGCCGGATCTGCAGGGGCGGCGACCAGATCTGCTGAAGCGGCAGGAAGATCTGTTGTGGCGGCGGTCAACAGCGGCGATGGACATATCTGCAACAGTGACGACCAAATATGAAGTGACGGCCGGCGACCGGCGGCGATGGACGACCGGCGACAGTCAGATCTTCAACACCAGATCTGAAATCGTTGATGGACGCCGGCGCTCACCATCAGTCCTTCACCGCTTGTCACTGTTGTGAAGCTGTCTGTTGCTCTCACCGCAAATCTCCATCAGCGTCCGTCTCAATATTGAAGATGAAGAATGGAGAAGCCTGGTGCGGACAGTTGATTGTTGCAGAGGAAGATTCATTGTTGTTGGGGAAGAAAGGCTTGTGCGTGTAGTTTATTGTGGCTGGGGAAGAACTGGAAGCCTAGGGCCGCATGATTAAAACAACTTGAGGGGTAAAATTGTAACAATAGTCCTATTTAGGGAATAAAATATATATACTCCCATTTAAGAATTTAGACAATAATTTAGTCTTATTTAAGACAATAACTCTATTTTTAATATTTTGGAACATTTTTTAATACTACATAATAGTTGAGCTTTTCTCCTTTCAAAAAATGGCATCTTATTATTACATGGACGCAAATTACTGATGCATGTATGCATAAAGGGAAACTTCCTGAAATAAGACTAAAATAGTGTTTTTATTTCCAAAATAAAAACACTATTTCGGGTAATATCTCATGCACAAATGGTAGTCAAGAGGCCCAAGATAATCAGCATGTCCTTTATTTATCCTCAAAACATGATAGATTTAGACAAGCATGCCACCTTCTTTATACATATTCTATAGATAGAGTACAATAAGGCACAAGTCGTGAAGGATAACATAATCTTTCATTTTATTAATAGTAATTATTATCATCATCATTATTACATACTCAGCTCGTAGTATAAACCAAAGTGTATATAGCTTAATAAGCTTAGCCATAGACAGTGATTATTCACACACATATTGAGAAACAACCCGCAAGCACTGGCCTCCGATCCCTCTTTATTTTCGATGCAAGAAAGGTACATATCCTGCGTTAATTGCAACAAACATTTGTCAACTCAAAGCTTAATTTGATGCATAGATTTGGGTTTAATGCCTCAAATATGATGCTAGTATATACATTTTTAAAATTTTAAGCAGTAATCAATACATTCGCCAAATTGGTTTTTCTTAGTCAATGGCAATCACCTTCGATCAATCACATCAAAATGTTTCTTATTCAAACTATTTTTCATAAAAGTATAAAATTCATAAATTATACTATCTCCGTTTCTTATTTAAGTTCACACTTTGACTTCATACAGATTAAGAAAATAAATTTGACTTTACTATGAAGTGCACTGTTTGGCACTGTTTTGTACTGTTTTTGTTTCCTAAAATGGAAGTGTGAACTTAAATAATGAACATCCCGAAAAGGAAAGTGGGAACTTTAATAGGGACCAGAGAAAGTATACACATACAGAATATAATAATTCAAATCATTGTCCAAAATTTTTTATCATTGACCAAGAAAAGTTAATATGACGAATTTTTTCGGGACGGAGGTAGTATAAAAAACAGAAGAGAAATGATGGCACATCTAGGGCCCATGGGTGGATATCATGGTTTAGTTTATACCATTTTTGGATTTGAACGAATCGTAAAGATTATTAAAATAATCATACTATTTTTTTATTCGGTTCGTTTTAGTTCAGTTTAGTTCGATTTAAAATTATTATTATTTTCTAATACCATATGCAGTTTTATTCAAATTGTTTAGTTTAGCTCGATTTTATTCGGTTTTTTCCGGTTTCGATTCGATTAAATACGATTTGGAAGAAATATCATCAAACTTAAACCAATTTGCATATGGTTTGGTTTTGGTTCGATTGGTACCGTTCAACTAAACCAAACCAACATGCCTACTCCTAAGTACATTAACCCAACAGATGGAATCGCTCACCCCAGACATCCTCATACCCCGTTCAACATAATGATGAATATATGTAAATTACGATTTCAAACAGTTTCCGAGTGAAGTTATTCAAAGTCTGATACTCACTACAAAAAAAACCACAGGGATGCTATTAGTAATGAGACTTACAATAATAGGGGACGATCTTCCACCGCTGATTGTCACCTTTAGTCCACTCCCAGTTGACAATGGTAGTCCCGTCACGGACGCCGCCGTGATCTTCGTCCCCGTGGAAAGCGTCGAAGTTGAGGCTGATGTTGTTAACCATCCTGATTGCTCTATAGTCTTCACCGGTATCCTTGCTTTCCGTCCATAAGATGGATTCGTCAAGATGATCGGGAATGTACTTCGTCAATTGAACCTGATGCATGAAACACAAACAAATTAACCAACTTTACTAAGAGCCCCTTTATTAGCCAACAATTTTCGTCTTTTGAGTCCATTTTGGTCAAACACAACCTTTTGATTTAACGTGTTGAATTGTTAGAGAGTTAGCTCATACTATGCTCATACCAATGCTCTAAGATAATGTGTAGAACTCACTTCCAAAAGACTAGCAAATTGGGAATACCGGTTTATAAACTACCGATCAAGCTCATACTTTATCGATGTGGAATCGTTACATTACCCCACGCTTCGATTCTACAATTTGAGCATGTCTTTGACCACTTTTGGTACATGGCTATTGTGTTTTCGCTCCTTCCGACAATAATTTCGTTGTTTAAAATTACCGGAGAAGGACAACAAGTGGTCAAAAAACATTAATCAAGTATTAAAAATGAAAAAATTGAAGGCGTGAACTAAATGTGAAAATAACGTAAAACTCGTGGGACCAAAATTAGAATGGATTCTTAATAGAAATTGAAGTGAGGCTATAAATCAAGTACCGGTTTAGTGGCAGCAGCAGCATGTTTGATGGCCTGCCCTGTACCTTTGTTCACCAAAGCAAAGCTTGGTAACCCCTCATCATCCTTCACTTTTGTGCTGTATTTCTCTTCCTTGTACCAGTGCTGGGGAAAAATTATCCTCCATTTAGTAATTTTACCATAAATAAATAAATAAATTGCAATTACTTCCTCGATTCCTCGATCCACTATCGACGGTTAGATTATCCTTGTCAATTTTTCCAAATCTTTATACTTCGATTCAAGACTACAACATATATTCTGTATTCGACAAGTTACAGAATCCGTTCATGTATAAATTTCAAATCTGTTTCAACTTTGTTTTACCTGGTTTGGATCGGATGGATCAGAAAGGGCAAGAATGACATGTCCATGGCGAATAGAGAGGCAGTGATTGGTATCCGCCCGACAATAAATCTTGTAAGTCCTCCTCTCACAGCTGCCATCGTCATAGTGAGGAGGATGAGTAGTATGGCTCTCGTAGTGGGAGACGTGGTGCACGGTGATCGGTCGTTCCGAATCAAACCCGTCGCCCCCGTACTCGAAGCTCTCGCGATCATCCCGCGGCGGAGGAGGGAGCTCCTCCTCCCTGCCGTGGTGGTGGTGGTGGTTGTGGTGGCCAAATGACATTTCTACAGTTTACTTCGTATTATATTGCTCCGGACTTCAGTAAGCAGAGAACAGAGTGACTCTGTTTTTGCATAGAGATGGAGGAGGAAGAGGGACTTTATAGTGTGAAATTACATGAGGGGTGATTTTGTATTTTCGGTTGGAAAAATGTTTTTTGTTAGCCATTTAAGGTTGGTTTGCAACAACTTTAAAAAAAGCACTTTTCAGCTTTTGGCTTAAAAAAGCACTTATTTACCAAACACTACCAATTTTTTACTTTTCTCGGCTTTCGTGTCAAAAGTGCTTTTCCCCTTTTTATACACCAAAAGCACTTATTTTACCAAACACAACCAACTTTTACTTTTCAAAATCACTTTTTTCTCAAACACTATCAACTTTTACAACTAATCACTTTTTCATTTCATCTCCAAAAGTGCTTTTTTTTAAGCAGAAGCTGTTGCAAACACTCCCTTAGTACAGTAGGGTCCCACACCCATATCCATATGAGATTATGAACGATTAAACGGAGCAGGTGAGCGGTTAACATCCGTAAAGAAATTATCAACGTGAATCACGACGGGTCAGGAGTGGGTATGAAAACCCCAATCAAACTATGAAAGGCATGTTACTTAATCTCTACTTTATCTATATCAATTATCAATATTAAAGTTTTAGTACGGTCAACTGATCAAATGAAAGGCATATGAAAGGCATATTTGCAAAATTTATTTTTCTTAGTCAATAGTAATCAACTTTGACCTATGATATATTTTAATATGATACGAGTATTATTTAGAATAGGCAAGTTATATCAAAATGTTCCTTATCCAAAATATTTTTAAAAAGGTATAAAATTTGTAAATTATATACAAATATAATAATTAAAATCATTATCGAAAGTTTATTATCATTGACCAACAAAAGCCTTACAATTTATATACGCATTTATTTACGCATTTATAGAGAAGTATGCACTAGTACACATTTTGATGATACACTAAAAAGTTAAGTAAAACTTCTAATTAACTAGTGTTAATTATTGTCTTGTAAATTTTTTTGGTCCCCCCTAATCTTGTGTTTCCTCTAGTAGAATAGTAGTGTAAAATATTTGTATTTTTTGTAATGCACTTGTAATTTTTCAATACCACATTAAATTAAATGTCATATCTAAAAAAAAACTATATATCTTCTAGTAGTTATTTTGTAAAATACTAAATCTATAACAACACTATATTTCAGAGTAGTTACGTAATTATTCCATCATAAATAATATCTCGCACTTAATAGTATATTATGGAGTAGTATCGAAATGAGAACTAAATAAAATGTAATCAAAAGAAACAAAAGAAACTTGGCTAAGAGATACATGAAATAAGATATAATTACACTAGGAAGACTAAGAGCTAGAAAGTTTTAATTGGGTTTGGCTATTACATAGCATTAGAAATTTAAAATAACCTACAAATTTCAAACGAAACACCGGGACGGGACATGATAATTTATAGCTATCCCAGTCCCGTCCCAGTTAATATCGGTATGGAATCGGTTCAGAATGAAAAAATTGCATCCTAAATGGATCGGGATAGTTTCGGAACGGTAACGGGATTTTTCGATTTGGGACACCGGGACCGGGATTTTTGCCCACCCCTACAATTGGCAATTGCTACATCAGTTCATTTATCATTTTTATAATATTATTACTCTTTCCCATAATTATATAATTTATCTTGTTTTCGTACTCCTTAATAGCTTCTCTTATTCAAACGAACAACTCCCCCACTTAATTTGTAGTTGCAATCCCTAATTAAAACTACTCACAACTAATAAATGATAAATCAACAAAATTGGGATGAACATAAATAATTGTCATAAATTAAAAAGTAAGAACTTACAAATAATCACAGGGTCTTGAACAAAATAGCGGATATACAACGTAAAATTCGTCCCTAGGCCTCTCTCTAATTTCCGTAACCTTAAAACGGGGATATGGAGGCCTTATTTATAGAAAATAGGAAAAATCAGACTCAAACTAGGATTTCGGGCACAGGCACGGCACTAGGCACGGCATGCCTGCGGAGCATTGACGCGCATCAAGGCCTGGCACGACGTGCCTCTCTGGCAGGCACGACCATGCCTCGCTGGCAATAGCCTTTCGCTCTTTGCCTTCAGCACGCACGACGTGCATAAGAGCACGTCGTGCGTGCTCTTTCTTTATGTGAAAATGTCCGTTGAGATCAATGATCTTGTTTATATTATTCAGTCACAATTTATAAAATTTCCAAATACATCTGTGAGTTGAAATCTGAGGGGATGGAAACTCTAGGGAGGTAGTTTTGGGAAATGTTTAAAAACCTTTAGGTGTCCCTGTGGAAAGCTTTGGAACTTTTGAACAACTCTTCCGTTGAAAGTTGGTGTTTTAAAATTTAGCATTTCTTGTGTTTCCATTTCTCTGCAATCAATGCATGATTACCTGGGCAGAAAAGTTCCCTTGTTCCAGCTAAAACTCGAAAGTGAATATATCTACACTTCAGTGATTGTAAAAGTGCAAGAATATAATGATAAAAGCCCAAAACTGTGCATGTACCAATGTACCATTTACATCAGTTTTAAGTTGCATACACCCCCTCAAATTCAATAACATTTGGACTCAATCTAGATTTATACCAGATCTCTTATGGCAAACTTGCCATAAGAGAAATTACAAATTGGCAACTTGGTAAACTGCTAGTACATCTCAATTCTGTATTAGATATGCCATCACAAGGACTCAATTCCACATTTTGAAGCTCAACTTGCTCTAATTTCAGAAGAAATTTAGATGGTGGAAGTTGTGCTGTGATTTTAGAACTGGGAACGGAAGAACCATTTTGAACTGAACCGTTATGACCCGGTTCGGTTCCTATGTATGGATTATATGTTTTTAATGGTTCAGTTCCTCAAAACCTGCCCTATAAGCACCTTTGCAAAGCATGGTTTAGTTTGTGAACTTAGTTGAAATGTATGAATACTTAAACGTTTTTAAAAAGTAACAATTGTCATGCATTCAACAGATTTGGTAGTACTTATAGATATTGTTCACTTAAAATTGGAGAACACTTATTCCGAAAATGACTTCTTTTTGGATTTTTGTTGGCTAGATATTATATACATGTACAGAACTACTTTATAACATTTTATGTATCAAACCTGTCACACATCAAGCTCTTCCCAGAAGGAAACTTTTTCTTGTCCCTTATATATTAGGTATGGTCAAGTGTACCACACTCTCCAGCCCCGCGTCACACGAACTTTGCTGCATGCATTTCTAGATCCAACGAAGGCATTTCCTCCCTCAGCATTATGGTGCAGTACAAGGGCTAAATGCCCTTGGACCTAGTGTGGTAAGTTCTTGCATTTCCTACCTTTCCTCTTCATTTCCCCTACCCCAAAATTGTGATATGTCTTGCATTGTGTTAGGTTCAACTGCTTTTGCTGCCTAATCTTGAGCCTTATATAAAACTGCTGGAGCCATAAATGCAACTAGAAAAGCAAAAGAATGAGATGAAGAGGCATGAAGCTTGGCTAGTATATGGTGCTCTGGCTGTATGTTTTGATGTTTATTAAGTCTTTTGCTTGTATTTTCCTGTTTATTATGTCTGTGAGCATGGTTCCCCTTGAAGTAAACATATCGAATTATGGCTTTAATGGCATTTTCATTAGTGTGCAACAGGCTTATGTATCTATGGTCGGCTTAAGATACTTCACACTTTACTGCCCTCACACGCACATTCTGTTTGAAAGAGCACAACGAAAATCGCCATGGCTTCAATGTCAAGTATGTTTATAGCCTGCTATATTGACCTTTTTATCGTTTTAATGGCATTGCACTACAGACTACAGTGTGCAGCTGGCTTATGTATCTATGGTCGGATTAAGATACTTCAATCTTTACTGCCCTCACTTGCACATTGTGATCTGAAGAGTACAACAGAGGTCGCCATAGCTTCCTATGTTTGCCTTTTTATGCATGTTGTTAATACCAAAAAGGGGCATACATAATTTGTATATATGCCCAGGTCGGTGGATTAAAATTTATGCATTATTGGCTTAAATAAGGTAAAGGTGTAGAATAATATATACAATGAGTTTACCCCCCCCCCCCCCCACCCAACAAATAGTTATGTTTCACTGAGGTACCATTTTTATTTTATTTTATTAAAACTAGTAATCAGTCATTCTTGCACATTGTTTTGGTTCAACTAAACTTAAAATATTTACCCTTTTAGGACCTTTTGTTTGAAAAGTTGCATTAAATATAATAAAATTTTGCTTCTTTTATCCAAGTAGGACTTTTTTAATTATTTTTTCCCAGAGTATGTTTTTAAAGATGCTCTTTTATTTGGAACTTGGAAGAAGGGAGTATTCACATAAAATCTTTGAATACCTATGCTTGTGGATTTTGTTAAAGTTGAAAACGTATGACCCTGATTGGAATAGCTTATCTTTAGTTATTTTTTCATTTAAAGTGCATTTTGAAGTACCGCTTTGCTGCATTCTTACATTAGCAAAAAGTGTTTTTTGACTGTCAAACACTTGGTGTATTTCTGTCAAACGGTTCTTTTTGAAGCAAAAGTGCTTTTCTACTTAAAATAACTCGTCCCAAACGCTCCCTTTACACGTTTAGCTCTCTCTCTAGTGCTTTTTACTATATAATCTAGCAATGGAATGACCTTCAGAGATTTCAAAACTAACTTTTATTCATCACCATTGAATCTTGAGGTAAACGTAAAATGAGTATGACGGACAACATGATGCTGCAACAATCACCACTCAAGAAGGTGGCTGATGGAGGAGCACTATCCGCCACCACTGATACCCCCACCAGTTTCCCATCTAGTTTACCGAGTGAGAACTTGCCAAGAATTGTCAATGGTAGAAGGGATACGGCTACTGCTGGTAGTCAAGCAGCCTTAAAAGCGGCAACACTTGCCCCTTCTGTTAAGGCCAACTTGAAGGGCAACACAGACATTGCACGCTTGATGCCTTTTCTATTTGAATATTTTGGTGACAGTGTGTCATCCTTCACCCCTGCACCTGAATTGTCTATCTTCTTGTGATCAGGGGAGGTCCTTGTAAGAGATTATTACCATCATTATAAATCAATTGCTTAATATAATTATTCGTCGAATGCTTTTTTTTTGTTTTAGGTCCTATAGAATTAGTGTATTTTCTTACAATTTATGTGTTACGGAGTATATTTTATCCTTGTTGTGATTTCTTTTAAGCCCTTATTTGTCAACTTTCTGCAACTCTCCAGGGACTATTAGGGAAAATGTGGAGTCCCACTCTCAATATTTGTTTATACGGCTTTATGGTAATGGAGTCATGGAGATGCATTTCGAAAAATGTATGAGTGATGTTTCTGTACTTAGAAGAAGATTGACATTTGACAGGGACAGAGGCTAACTGGATTTGTATATAAAAAATAAATTCGAGTTCAGAGGATAAAAAGTAAATCCTCATGGACTAAAAACAAGACGTGCAATACTTGCATAGGTGGAAAAAACATGTCAACCCAAATTTTCAGTTATTACATAACATTTTTCTATAAAATTATGAAATATATATTGACGTATAGAATAGACTATACATAGTATACAGTAGTTATGAAATGTGTTGAACGCATCAATGTACTGCAGTTATATGATGTCATTTTAGAACCCCAATGGATTAACAGAATGCCGAGTAAGATTTTCTTTGTAAAAAAATACATTGCCAACTCAGGCATAGCTTGATGCCTTGATGTAGACTGAACTAAAACAGAAAAGGCGCACATTTCATGATGATAATCATTATCATCTTACAACCATAAATGAAAAAAGGCCAATGCCAACCCTGCTTGCTAAATTAGGGTGGGGATGGAAGAGAGAAAAGGCACAGAGAAAAGAAGTCAAAATGTAGCTAGAAGAATAGCTTCCGAGGAGATGGTTGTGAGTTAGTTGAAGGTAAACGGGTGGATGGCCTTAGGGTTGGCAGTGACGACATGCTTTCTGGGCTTCCACTAGGACCTCTATCAACAACTATCTTTGCTCCTGCTCCTCTAGGATCTGTAACAAGAGTTCTCTGAAAGGATTGCGTGAAACTATTAGCGTTATTATTATGTTAGCAATATTATTTAAGGATAGGAGTCTATTTTTGAGTAGAAGACTATTTCCATTATACTTATTTCCTTGTATACATCTTACCGATCCGTTTTGATCGGCTCTCTCAGTGTATATATACTGGCCGATTGACTTTTGGCAGAATAAGAAGAAATTACTCCTTATATTGTTCTTCATTCATGTATATCATACAAAATTAACATGGTATCAGAGCATTCACGCTGACCTGCTGCGCGACTCCTACAGGGATGACGACGGGAGATGGAGCAACACCGGTTGCGAAGATGGATTACATTTCGCCGCTTTTCTTGGGACCCCAAGATAGACCGGGAGATTTTATCACTCCCGTTCGACTAACGAATAAGAATTATGAAGAATGGTCTAATGCCGTGAGGTTAGCGCTCCGGGCAAGAAGAAAGTTTGTTCTCGTAGACGCCTCACGAAACCAACGCCTCCTTATACCGAGGAGGACTGGCTTACGAACCACTCCATGGTTGTCTCCTGGCTCTTGAATACAATTTCACCGGAGGTGAAGGCAACACTGTCGCACTACGAAGATGCACGACGCCTCTGGAACGACTTGAAGGAAAGTTTCGGATCAGTTGATGGTCCAAAGATTCACCAAGTCAAGACAGATTTGGCTAGGTGTGTTCAGTCAAAGGGGATGGACATTGGAACCTATTATGCTAAATTGCAGAATTTATGGGAGGAATTAAACAACTACGAGCCGTTAATTGCATGCAAGTGTAACAATTGCACATGCGATGTACTCAAACAACATGAAAAAAGAAGAGAATTTGAACGTCTGCACCAGTTTTTGATGGGCCTTTATACTGAATTCTTTGGCGGCGTTCGGTCACAATTATTGACGCAAACTGAACTCCCAACCTTGAATCGGGCATACCAACAGATGACACAGGAAGAGCGCGTCCGGGGAATCGTCCAGACTCAGGAAGAACGACCAGAGGTGTTGGTATTTGCTCTTAAAGCGGAAGGAAAAAGTGCAGGCCGGGGGGTGAAGCCAGATAAATCCGGACTGGTTTGTTCTTATTGCAAATTTACGGGACATGAGATAACTGGTTGCTTCGAACTACATGGTTATCCCGATTGGTGGGGAGATAGACCACGTCTCGGAATTAAAGGGGGAAGCCGGGGACGTGCAAGCAGCTCTGGACTCACAGGGAATTCTGGAGCATCTCGTGGAAAACAAATGAACAAAGCCCATGCCACAGTGGCAGCTGATGCTACAGCAAAGCAGGGGCAGAATGCTGGGGAGAACAAGACCGGGCAGAACACTCCACTACCGGGTTTCACACTCGAACAGTGGACTTCCTTGCTCTCTATGCTCGGTAACACACACTCTACTAATGATCGTATGGCCGGTAAGTTTAATAACAATGTTTGATTATTGATACAGGAGCTACAAATCATGTCTGTGGGAATTGGTCTTTGTTGTGTGATTTGAAAAATATTGACCCGTGCACTGTTGGGCTCCCCGATGGGACAAACAGTCCTGGCTACTCTCAAAGGGAGTGTGCGTTTTGCGAATAATTTATATTTAAATAATGTTTTGTTTGTCCCGGAGCTGGAATGTAATCTGGTTTCTGTGTCCCAATTAAGTGATGCACTAGACTGTTTTATCCAATTCACTTGTAATTTATGTGTTATACAGGACCGTGCCTCGAGGAGGCTGATTGGAACGGGTGAACGGCGGAATGGACTGTACTACTTGCGGGAGGGGGCCACGACGCATACTTTGACAGTTAGAGAATCAGGGAATGAGGCAGAGTTATGGCATCAAAGGTTGGACCACACATCTTATCAAATTGTTAGAAATTTAGTTCCCGTAAGTGGTTTGAAGAATATTGGAAGTTCTCCATGTGATATTTGTTTTAGAGCTAAACAGACTAGGGATTCTTTTCCTACTAGTTTGACTAAAACTCATGCTATTTTTGAGATGATTCATTGTGACTTGTGGGGCCCATATAAAACCCCGTCCTCATGTGGTGCTAAACTATTTTTGACAATTGTTGATGATTATTCCCGTGCTGTTTGGATTTATCTGCTGCTTGACAAAAAGGAAGTTTTTAAAATGTTTCTTTCTTTTGTCGCTATGGTGGAACGACAATTTTCCAAGAAAATTTTGTGTGTAAGAAGTGATAATGGCACGGAGTTTAATTGTTTAAAAGATTTCTTCCGTACAAATGGGATTGTCTTTCAGACGTCATGTGTTGGGACACCCCAACAAAACGGGCGTGTTGAGCGTAAACATAGACACATTTTAAATGTGGCTCGTGCATTGAGATTTCAAGGGAACTTGCCTATATCGTTCTGGGGTGAGTGTGTATTAACCGCTGCTTATTTGATTAACCGTACACCTTCGGCACTTCACTCTTATAAAACGCCATACGAGATTTTATTTGGGACGCCTCCGTGCTATAAGTCTCTCCGTATTTTTGGTTGTTTATGTTATGCCTACAACATGAGGTCAAAGGGTGACAAATTTCTTAGTAGAAGCAGAAAATGTATTTTTGTAGGATATGTTTTTGGCAAGAAAGGGTGGCATGTTTTTGACTTGGAGACTCGGGAATATTTTGTTTCTCGAGATGTAAATTTTTTTGAACATATCTTTCCATTTGCATCTGCTTCTTCTATGGCCGATCCTACTCACATGACAGAAGAACCACAACACATGTCGGAGGAACCGCAGCCAGTCAGTTTCCCATTAATTATACGGATGCCTCCATGTTGGGACTTTCTGGACAAGCCGACGTAGGGCCTGCAGTGTCACACGAAGGAAGCTCTTCGTTGGAAGGTGACACATCTCTCCAGTCCACAGCGGACATACCTGATAACATCCAGGAGGACTCACACCGTACCTTGGGGCACAGGCAACGTACACGCATGCCCTCGGTTCGTCTCAAGGATTATATCACGCATACTATTGTTAAAAACAGTCCGTTCCCCGCTCTTCCTGCTTCATCATCCTCTTCAGGTACGCCGTTCCCTATAACCCATTATGTTACTTGTGATTCTTTTTCTTCAAAACATAAGGCTTATCTGGCAGCACTAACGTCTATTACGGAGCCTAGCTCTTTTAATGAAGCGGTTAAACATGAAGGGTGGCGTAATGCCATGCGAGATGAAATCCGCGCACTGGAAAATAATTCCACTTGGAGTCTTGTCTCATTGCCTCCTGGAAAACGTGCTTTAGGATGTCGATGGGTCTATAAAGTCAAACACAAATCTGATGGCACTATTGAACGTTTGAATGCTCGTCTTGTTATTTTTGGGAACAGACAGGTTGCCGGTCTGGACTATACAGAAACATTTGCACCTGTTGCTAAACTGGTGACTGTGCGTGCTTTTCTTGTTATAGCTGCTGCTAAGCATTGGGAGTTACATCAAATGGATGTACATAACGCTTTTCTTCATGGAGATTTACATGAGGAAGTTTATATGACTATTCCTCCGGGATACGGGACCAGTGATTCGACTATGGTCTGTCGGCTTCATAAGTCCTTATATGGACTTAAAGAGGCTCCAAGATGCTGGTTTGCGAAATTGGTTACTGCTCTCAAGAGTTATGGTTTTCTCCAGTCCTATGCAGACTATTCCTTATTTACCTTCACTCGAGGAGATGTCCAGCTTAATGTGCTGGTTTATGTGGACGATCTTCTTATCTCTGGCAATGATGGTGTAGCCATTACCACTTTTAAATCATACCTTCATACATGTTTTCATATGAAGGATTTGGGGACACTTAAATATTTTTTGGGTATTGAAGTGGCTCGAAGTTCCACAGGGATCTTTCTTAATCAGAGAAAATATGCATTGGATATTATTGCTGAAACAGGACTGTTAGGGGCGCGTCCTGCTTCATTTCCCATTGAGCAGAATCATACCTTAGTCGCGGCTTCTGGTGCGCCCCTCCCGGACCCAGAACCCTACAGACGTCTTGTTGGGCGACTTATTTACTTGGCTGTTACTCGTCCCGACATCACCTACTTTGTGCATATACTCTCTCAATTTATGCAACAACCGCGTGATGAGCATTGGTCTGCCGCTCTACGTGTGGTGAGGTATCTAAAAGGACCCCCTGGTCAAGGGATCCTTCTTCATGCTGACAGTGATCTCACTCTTTCTGGGTGGTGTGATTCTGATTGGGCCGCGTGTCCTCTTACCCGTAGATCCCTTTCTGGCTGGTTGGTTTTTCTTGGTCATTCACCCATCTCCTGGAAGGCTAAGAAACAATCAACGGTTGCTCGTTCTTCTGCTGAAGCCGAGTATCGTGCTATGGCGGCAGCCACCTGCGAATTAAAATGGCTAAAAGGTCTTCTCTTAAGTCTGGGTGTGCAACACCCTCAGGCTATTCCTCTTTATTGTGACAGTCAATCTGCCCTTCATATTGCTCAAAATCCTGTGTTTCATGAGCGCACAAAACACATCGAGGTT